GATATTAGAAAAAAGGGTTACAACAATCTTGATGAAGTAACTGTAATATCTAATATTTCAGATGATATGCAGGAAAAATTTGAAGAATGTGGTGGATATGAAGCTGTCAGTAATCTTGCAAGTATAGTAGATACGAATAATTCTGAAAGCATTTTAGATGCATTACATAGGGAAAATATTCTGATTCATTTACATGATAGTGGATTTAATCTGCTGAAACCTATGACGGATGATAAAGGCAAAGAGTTTATTCCTATCAACAAATTCAGAAAAATGCATTCGGAGAATGTAATTGATTTCTACGAATTAGAACTTAACAAGTATGCTATTGGATATAACACCAAGATACTTGATGAAAGAAAGCTTACAGTAACTCCTGAGTACATTCAGAAGATTCAGGATGGTGAATTGAATGGTGTGCCGTTTGAGGAGTGTTCTATTGACGTAGAGGGCGGTGTAGAAACTGTTTACTCATATCTATCAAGAGATATTAAAGGCTTGTTACGTGGCAGTACAACAGTTCTGGGAGCATATTCTTCAGTGGGTAAAACTACATACTGGACAGGAATAATATTATCACTTGTTGAACAGGGTGAAAAGGTGCTGATTTTCAGTAATGAACAAGATGGTGATGTTTTTACAAATAACTTTCTGGTATGGCTATTATATAAACATTTCAGATATTACAAGATAACAAAGACTAAGCTTAAAACAGGAGAACTTACAGATAAAGATCTTGAAATGTTAAAGGCTGCAAGTGAATATTATAACGAAAATTATGCAGATAATATTCAGTTTATTCATCTTCCTGATATGGATATAAGCACAATCAAGAAGAAAACAAGACATTATGTTCTTAAAGAGGGGTTCTCTGTTGTACTTATAGATACTTTTAAGCAGGATTATACAGAAGGGACTGCTGATGCTACATATCATAAGCTCATTAGTGATGCCGAAATGCTTGATGCAGAAGCTAAGAGATATAATCTTATTGCTTTATGTTCATTTCAGTTAGCACCTAACACATTAGGAAAGTTATTTCTTGATGTTACTTGTCTTTCAGGTGCAAAGGCTGTAAAGAATACTCTTGAAAATCTTTTCCTTATGAGAATTGTTTATCCTGAAGAATTTGTTAAGACAAGTAAGTATTATTGCAAACCTTTTCAATGGAAAGCAGAAAAAGGATATAAAGACGGAAAACAAATTGATGTTTGGAAACAAGTACCTTATGAAACTAAGGAAGATAAGATTTATCGTATTATGTTTACTGATAAATGCCGTTCTGGAACTATGTCGGGAGATAGTGGTATAGCACAATTACTTGAGTTTGATGCAGCACATAGCGTGTTTAAAGAAGTGGCTTACTGTAAGCCAAAACGAGGAGTTATAACTTAATTTTAAAAGGAGAATATTTTTTATGTACGATTTTGATTTAATTCTTGACAATGTAGAAAACAAGACTGTTTTTGAATCACTTGTCAAAGCAAAAGAGATGGTTGCTCATCATCAAAATGTCGCAGTATCCATATCGGGGGGGGGCAGACAGTGATGTAATGTTAGATATTATAACAAAGGTAGATACTGATAACAAGTGTAAATATGTCTGGTTTGATACTGGACTTGAATATCAGGCTACTAAGGATCATATCAAATATCTTGAAGATGAGTATGGTATTACTATTGAGAAATGTAAACCAAAGAAACCTATTCCGGTTGCTGTTAGGGATTATGGTATACCATTTTTAAGCAAGACTGTATCGGAATTTATAAGCAGACTTCAGTCGCATGGCTTCCAGTGGAAAGACGAGCCTTATGATGTGCTGATACAGAAATATCCTAAGTGTAAATCAGCGTTACAGTGGTGGTGTAATACTAATGGTAACAATAGTATGTTTAACATTCAGAGAAATAAGTATCTTAAAGAATTTATGATACAGAATCCGCCTACGTTTAAGATATCAAATAGATGTTGTAAGTTTGCTAAAAAGGACGCAGCAAAAGATTATAACACTGATAACGGTATCGACATGAGTTGTATAGGTGTTCGTAAGGCTGAAGGTGGAATCAGATCAGCAGCATATAAATCATGTTTCAGCGAACATACAGATAAATATGATGAATTTAGACCTATATTCTGGTACACTGCAAACGATAAGCGTTACTACGAAAACCATTTTAGTATTGAGCATAGCAAGTGTTATACAGAATATGGTTTGGATAGAACTGGTTGTGTGGGATGCTGCTTTGGAAAGCATTTTGAAAAAGAACTTGAAATCGTACAGAAATATGAACCTAAGTTATATAAAGCTTGTATAAATATCTTTGGTGAATCATATGAATATACAAGAAAATACAGAGAATTTCAGAAAATGATGAAAGAAAAGGAATGTGAAAATAAATGATTGTATTTAACAGAATATCGGTTGCTGTCATCCTCTAAATGAGGTTTGCGAGAATTGAGTACGGAAACGGTACAATAGGCTAATCACCCTACAAGTCAAGTAGATTCGTAATGCGATAATATAACAGTAAAATGAATATATAGCTGCGTGGAGTTAGTTGATTACTATCGAAGCACAGGTGAGCGTACTTTTATTGCCTTCTTAATTAGTTGAATACTAAATAAGAAGCGTGACGGTATGCAACCGATATTCACAGAATTTATAAATTTTATGAAAGACAAGGGATATGATGTCCCAATTACAGAAGGAACTTATTGGTTAGACAATGGTTTTATTAAAGCATTTACTTCTGATGGAGTGTTACACAAGTTATACAAATACAAAGTTAATGATGATTTAAGTATTAATATTACTAAGTACAAAGAATTTATTGAAGCTGATTTTGAAACGTGGAATGATACAGCAGAAAGACTTTCCGATTCTATAAATATCAAGGTAGAAGAAAGTTTAAGATGTATCAGACACGCAGTAAATATTTTTAAAGACACTGACAAATGGGTGCTTACTTCTACAGGGAAAGACAGTATGGTTGTACTTGATTTAGTTCAGAAGGTCATTCCAGATGTCAAAGTTATGTTTAACAACACTTCACTTGACGTAGCTGACACTTACAGAATGGTTAAGTCGCATCCTGACTGGATTATTACGAATCCAAAAGTTGGTTTTTACAAGTGGGTTAAGCAGCAGATGTTTATTCCTACAAGATTTTCAAGAGCTTGTTGCGGTATTTTTAAAGAAGGTGCAAGTATATCTTACTTCAAAGAACATAACGCAGATAGACTGTTACAGTTCATGGGTGTTAGAAATGAAGAATCTAATGCAAGATCAGACAGAAGATTTATCGAACATAATCCTAAGTGGAGTAATCCAAATTGGTTAAGTTGTTTGCCTATACGTAAGTGGTCTGAACTTGATGTGTGGCTTTATATGATAAGAGAAAATCTTGAAATAAATCCTAAGTATAAAAAAGGATATAATCGTGTAGGATGCGGAATCGCCTGTCCGTATTATACCAAAAGTACATGGATTCTTGATAAATATTGGTATCCAAATTTATACAACCGTTGGCACGAAATAGTTGAGGAAGTCTTCCTCAACTCGAAACGTTGGTGTCAGTTAAATTGCACTGTTGCTGAATATCATGTATGTTGGAACGGTGGTTTATACAGAGAACAACCTACTGAAGAAGTTATTCAGGAAATGTGTGATTATACCGGCATGGATAGAGATGTAGCAGTAAAATATTTCAACAAGACTTGCTGCGAATGTGGTGCAAATGTACGTCAGAGAGAAGTTTTAGGCATGAATTACAAGTATTTTGGTACAGATTCTAATGTAGTTTATTGCAAGAAATGTCTTAAAAAGAAACTTAATCTGAATGCAGCGCAGTGGAAAGAACAAGTAAACAAATTTAATGAACAAGGTTGCACTTTATTTTAATTTATAATTGACAAACCTTACCCATTATGCTATACTTTAAATAGTAATAATTCAAACGAATTATTTATTTTTACTACTTAAACAGTAATAGTTCAAAGGATTGGTCAAAAATGATTGCGAGAGTTAAAGGAGAATTACTAAATAATCCTGATTCTATTGCTAATGTACTTAATCATTTTGATTTCTATCACATTGAATTACGGCATAATGAGGTAAGGTTTGCTAATTCTGAAGATGGTAGTAGGAATGCAATTCATATGAAATTAGATGAAAGTTTATTTACAAAGGATTTTGCAAGAGATACTTCTGGAGATATTTTTTCGTTCATTATGAAAGCAAGAAAAGTAACTTTTAAGGAAGTTTTTAATGTTGCTAAAAATGAAGTAGGCTTATCTGATTTTAAAATCAAAAAGAAAATAGAGCCATTCAATGGATTGTATTCTAAAGCTAAAAAATCTAAGAATACTCTGGAATATAAAGTTTATCCAGATAATGTTCTTAATAAGTACCCAATAGGCTACAGTAAAAAGTTTATTGATGATTATATCTCTATTCCTACACAGTATAAGTACGGTATAAGATATGATTTAAACAGTAGCTCTATTGTTATTCCTATCAGAAATCCAGTAGGAGAACTTATGGGATGCAAGTTAAGACGTAATTACAAGATATCTGATGATGAAAGCAAATACATATATGAGATACCTTGTCCAGCTTCTCAAACTTTATTTGGTTATGCTCAAAACTATGACAGCTTGTATGGATCTGATATCTTAATCGGAGAAGCTGAAAAGTTTGTAATGCAATGTGATAGTTATGATTATAGGAATGCAGTAGGATTAGGAAGTAGTAGTTTATCTATTCAGCAATGTAAATTGCTATTATCACTTAATCCTTCTTCCATTTCATTTATGTTAGACGTTGGGCTTGATAAGTCTGTTCTTGAAAAGAATATGCTGCTTATTAAGAATTATGCAAAAATGATTAATGTTCCTGTTTACTATTGGAATGGGAAAGGATTTGAAGATAAGATGTCACCTACAGATAAAGGTAAAACTTTATTTATAGAATCACTTAAAAACAGGGAGGAATTTATGAATGTTTGATGCAAGAGGAAAGTCAGTTACAAGTATTATTAATCGTATTTGTGTTGACAGAGGTATCAATAATCTTTCGGAATTTGTTAATCCGGGAGAAGAATGGATACTTAATCCGTATGACTTAAAGAATATGGATAAGGCTGTAGAGTGTTTAGATAAGCACATTCAGAACAAAAGTGCTATAGGAGTGTTATTTGACACTGATGCAGATGGTTTAACAGCAGGAACAGAAATGACTAATTACCTTGCTGATATGAAAATTTCTGCTAAAACTTTTATCAACAGTGGTAAGAAACATGGATTATATCTTGGAGATCAGATGAATGAGATTTTAAATTCTGGTATTAAGCTTCTTATTATTGTAGATAGTTTAGATAAGTGTACTGATGGATATGAGATACTTAAAGAAAATAATATTGATATTATTATTCTTGACCACCATGATGTAGAAATGTTCTCTAATTATGATAGTTATGCAATACTTGTATCATCACAGATTCAGTATGGAAATACAGCATTATCTGGAGCTGGTGTAACTCTTAAGTTTCTTATGGCTCTTGATGAGAAATATGATACAGATTATGCTGACAAGTATTTTGACTTGGCTGCAATAGGTATTCTTGCTGACGTATCTGATGTTTATGAATCTATGGAGAACAGAGCTATTATAAACAAAGGATTGAATAGTCTTCAGAATCCAGCAGTAAAAAAGATACTTGGTTCATATGAGTTTAACTCAAAATCAGTATTATTCTCTATTGCACCAATGGTAAATGCCTGTGTTCGTACTAATGATAACGAACTTGTAAAGAATTTTTTCCTTGAAAACAATAATAAAATTCTACTTTCATTAAAGAAATCTATTGAGTTATGCAAAGAAGAACAGAACAAAGAGAAGGAAAAGTTACTTGAATCATGCAGGGAACAGATGAATAAACAATCTGGCAAGGTAAAATATGCATTTATCGACAGTAATTATGGTGTTACAGGATTACTTGGAAACACACTTCTTGATGAATATAACTGTCCTGTTTTTATTTTTAATAAAGCTAATAGTGATACAAACACAATTATAGGTTCTATGCGTTCAGTAGGATATGAGAAGTTTAAAACTCTTTGTAATAGTGTTGGATTAGCAGAACTTTCAGGACATGAGTATGCTTCAGGAATTGTTATTGATAAAGATGATATAAACGTATTTATTGATGTAATAAATGAAAACCTTAAAGATAAAGAGTTTATTCCTGAAAATGACACAGAAGAAGCTGATGTTCTTATTAACTATACTGATATTACTAAGGAACTTGTAGAAAATATCGGCAAGATTAATCGTATTTTCGGCAAAGGATTTCAGCCGATTACCTTTAAGATTGAAGGCATTACAGATTATACTGTAAGCAAGTTTAAGGATGGTAAACATCTTGTACTCTATGTAGATAATACAAATCTTATGGTTATAGACTGGAATACAGACTTTGAATATGATAGCGAAAAAGAAACATTTCCAGAATGGGAAGATCATGCTGCTATAAATGATGAAATATCTGTTGTAGGAGAACTTGAATCAGGATTTATGGGAAGACAATTCAGATTAAAGATTATTTCTAAAAGTATTGAGGTGTAATATGGATAGACATATCGAAAACGGTACGATAGTGTATTGGTTAAAGTATTCTGTAAATGGTTATCAGATTGAGTATGGTATTGTACTTGACCATTGGTCGGATGCTGTTGCTGCTGAAAGGATAGTTCCAAGAAATAGAACTACGATTGATGGTGTTGATATACATGACATCCATTTCCCTACAAAAGCTAAGAAATTACCTAAGAAATGGTCATACGATATGAAGATGTATGAGACAAAGAATGTGTTATCAGATGAAGATGAAGAAAGATATTCTTATGCATTTTCTATCAATGATATCAAGTCTTTATACGATGCAGGCATATTTGTTAAAGCTTCAGAAGAACTATACTGGCATGGTCATATAGAAACTGTAATTGAAAAGGGTGAATGGTATCTGAAATATGTATATGATGATCCTCGTTCTAATACAGTTCTTAAAAATTGGGATGAGATATTTCTTAGTGCAAATGATGCACAGAAAAGAATAGATGAGATTAATACAGAGAATAAAAGAGTAGCCAATTTGTCTGATTATGATTACAATGTCGAATGTCTAGCAAGAGTGCTTGACAGATACAAATCCCTATATCATGTGCCTGACGTTGATATTGACAAAATCAGAAGTAAGATTATGGAACTTGATGATTTTGAGAATTTAGAGTTTAGATTAGGTTCGGGAAGTATTCAGTTTAAGAATTGGAAGAAGAAAAGATGGATAGGAGTAGAAATATAATTGTGGAGGATTAGCTATGTATTGTAAAGAACTTATTAAACAGATAATTCCTACATTATCATTTAAGTTTCCTTATTCTATTGATGATTATTCAGAACATATGTATTTTGAAAATTATCATCGCCACAGTGACAGCAGCAATTATGGTTTGGCAGATTCAGGTGAAATAATTGATGCTTATATTGATAAGATAAAAGAGATAAACAGTAAATGTCTATTCTCAGGTGAACATGGTTGGCAAGGAGATCATATTTCCGTATATGATACTGCTGAAAAAGTTGGTCTTAAGTACAGACATTCTTCTGAAGTCTATTGGGTTAAAGATAGATTTGAACAAGATAGAAGCAACTGCCATATGATTATTGTAGCCAAAACTGCAAAAGGTAGAAAGAGATTGAATTATATTCTCTCTCTTGCTAATGTAGAAGGATTCTACGGTAGACCAAGAATTGATTTGCAGTTACTTCTTGAAACAGATCCTAATGACTTTATAGTGACAAGTGCTTGCGTTGCCGGATGGAAGTATGATGATGCAGATAAGATATGGCTGAAAATTGCAAATCATTTTAAAAACAATTTCTTTTTTGAAGTGCAATACCATTTGACATCATCACAGATAGAGCTAAACAAAAGGATACTTAAACTATCTGAAGAAAATAACATTCAGATTATCGCTGGACTTGACAGTCACTATATCTCGGATGATGGTAAAGTAAAAAGAGATATGATTCTCAAATACAAGAAAACAGAATATCCTGACGAAGATGGATGGTATATGGATTTTCCATCTGTTGATGTTGTTATTCAGAGATTTAAAGAGCAAAGTGTTCTTACTGAAGAACAAATTTACAGAGCCATCATGAATACAAATATATTTGTAGATGAATGTGAAGAGATTGTTCTTAATAAAAATTTTAAAATTCCGAATATCTATCATGATTTATCTTATGAACAGAGAGTAAAAAAATATCATTCTATACTTAATGAAGCTTATAAAAAAGAGCCAGTCAAGTCTAAGGAAAGAGTTGAAGGTATAAGAAAAGAAGCACATGAAGTTACTTCAGCTAAAGTAGTTGATTACTTTTTGTTTAATTACGAACTCATGAAACTTGCTAAAGAAAAATATGGGGGGATATTAACTACTACATCAAGAGGATCTATGGGAAGCTTTTACACAAATAAACTCTTAGGATTTACAACTCTTGATAGATTCAACTCAGATGTTCCTATTTACCCAGATAGATTTATTACAGCCGAACGTATTTTATCTGGACAGATGCCAGACTGTGATTTTAACATAGCCAAACAAGAACCATTTGTTTTAGCTGCGAAGGAATTATTAGGAGAACATGGCTGTTATCCTCTTATGGCTATTGAAAAACTTAAAGTAAAATCAGCTTGGCAGTTATATGCCGGAGCAAACAATGTTAAACCAGATGACGCTAATGCAATTTCTGCGGCTATTGAAGAATATGAAAAGGTTTTAAAGCATACAGAAGATGAATTTAAAGAGGATGTTAAGGTTGAAGATTATATTCCTTCCGAATATTTAGAACTGTATAATCAGAGTCTTTCATATAGAAAAATCATGAGTAATCTTAAGTGCCATGCCTGTGGTCATCTTGTTTTCGATGGAGATATAAGAGAAGAAGTAGGATTAATTAGTGCTATATCTAAAAGTACAGGCAAAAGAACAATATGTGCTTGCGTTCAGGGTGGTTTCCTTGATTATTTCGGATATGTTAAGGATGATTTTCTTATTGTCGATGCAGTATCTCTTACTAAGGAATTTTTTGATAGTATAGATAAACCAGTTCCTACATTTGAAGAGCTTAAATCTATGGTAGATGGAGATAAGCCAACATGGGATATATATGCTAATGGAATCACTTGTTGTGTTAATCAACTTGAAAAAGAATCTACTGCACAGAAAATGATGAAGTATAAAGCTACCAATATGGCTGAACTAAGTTCTCTAATCGCAGCTATCAGACCCGGATTTGCTCCACTATTAAATAAGTTCCTTAATAGAGAACCATATTCAACAGGAGAACCTGAAATAGATAATCTCTTAAGTGACACTGCACATTGGATGCTTTATCAAGAGTCAATAATGAAGGTGCTTTCATTCTTAGGTGTAAGCATGGGTGATACTTATGGAATTATTAAAGCTATTTCGAAGAAAAAACTTGTAGGAGAAAAGAAAGAACATTTAAAATCACAGCTTAAAGAAAGTTGGTTAAATCATTTCGGCAACACAGATAACTTTAATAATGTATGGGATGTTATAGAATCATCAGCAGCATATGCCTTCAACTCACCTCATGCTTACTCAATGAATGGAGATAGTCTGTATCAAGCTTGGTTTAAGGCTCATCATACGTCAAAATTCTATGAAGTAGCAATGAACCATTATTATCTTAAAGACAATAAACCGAAGATATTTGATCTGTCAACTGAAGCTGTAAATAAAATGGGATATAAAAGGTTGCCTTATAAATTCAGACAGGATAATAGAAGTTTTATTGTTGACGGCAAGAATAAGACTATTTCTTCAAGATTATCTGCAATCAAAGGTATGCCTAATTCCGCACCAGATTTCCTTTATGAGATAAAAGATAAAGAATATACTTCATTCTTAGATTTTCTGATACAAGAGAATCCAAGTAAATCTATTATGGATAGACTTATACCTCTTGATTTCTTCTCCGAATTTGGCAAGTCTGGCAAGCTTATGAATATATATAAATTTTATGATGCACGTTATGACAAAACTAAATTCAAAAAGCAGATCAAGAAAGATAAGAATCCTTACCCGGTTGAAATACTCAGCAAGTACAGTAAAGAAACTGAAAAGCAGTTCAATATCATAGACGAAGTTGGTTTCTGTTCTGAAATGCTTTCTACATTTAAGGATAAAGACTTACCAATAACAGAAAGACTTCAGGCACAGTCTGAGTATTTAGGCTATTTAGAGTATGTAAATCCTAAAGCTAAGAATTATGCGTTTATCACAGATTTTGATACTAAATATAGCCCAAAAGTTACTTGTTATCTTTTAGATACAGGAGAAACAGTTGTTATTAAAATGGATAAGAAAATGTTTAATTCCATTTCTCTTAAAAAACATCAAGTAATTAAGTTTACTACGGAAGATAAACTAAAAAGAAAACTTGTTGACGGTCACTGGACTGAATCTGAAGAAACAGAAAAGTGGTTTAAAAGTTGTATTTTGTATAAGTAATAATTCAAACAAACAGGCATAACTATTGACATTAACCTAACAATATGCTATAATTTTAGTAGTAATAGTTATATTATTGTATAACAATTTTAAAGTAGGAGGTGATAGTTTTGCCTGATTTTGATTATATGAGTGATGAAGATATTAAAGAAGATCCTTTAAGAGAGTTTAAGAGAAAATTGAAGTATTATGATGATGTAGAAAAAATGACTGAAAGATATGAAAGAATTAATAAGAATGCAGAAGTTAAAACATATAAGTTTATAGAAGAACAGAATAGGAGATTAGATGAAACATGGATAAAGATATAAAAAAGAATCTAACAGAGATTGTGATTATGAAAACAAATGCCGAAGATGTAATTATTAATCCTGATGTAGTAGATATTATTAAAGAAAACGGATATTGCGTAATATCAGATAAGATGGCTAAGAGACTTCTTGATGAAAGTCTTGAATTAGGCAAACTCAAAAGAGATTTAAAATATGGAAAGTAAAGTAGTTATTAAAGATATTGAATGGTCAATATCAAGAACGGGACTTCTTACTCCAGTAGCGATTTTTGATGATATTGTTATTAATAACAATGTAATTAACCGGGTAGAATTGCATCATAAAGATTATATTATTAATAACAAAATAGGAATAGGAGATACGATAGGTATTAAATATGAATCCAGAAAACCTATGATAATAGAAAACTATACTAAGTCAGGAACTTATGAAATACCTACTCACTGTCCCGTATGTAATGCAATATTGAGAGAACGTCACGCTAAATTGTTTTGTACTCATGTTACCTGCAAAGCTGTAAAAGCAGCACATATAAATCATTATTGTTCTGTAATGAATATTAGAGGATTGTCTTATCAAAGGATAATGAAGTTATTTACTAATAAACATTTTCACAGACTTGAAGATTTGTATATCATAAAAAAACATAAAGTAGCTTTCCGTAATCTGTTAGGGTACGATTTGTTTAATAATGTTCTTGACAACATTGAAAAAAGTATTACTAATTGTACTTTAGGACAGTTGATATATGCTTTAAGCATGAGTAACAAGACAATTGCTGATTCATTAGAAAGATATTGCAGAAATGATATTGATACGTTCATATATTTAGCAGAAAAGAATTATGACTGGAGAGAAGCCGGTTTATCAGAGTTCTGGTCTGATTATGTTAATTCAATGTATTCTAAATATCATAGAACATTTATAGCTTTAAGTAAAATACTTTTTATTATTCCTTATATTCCTAAAGAAGATATGAATGATAAATTTGTAGGTGTAAAATTTGTTGTATCAGGATCACCAAAGATTTTTAGTTGTAGAGATTCTATAATAAGAGCTATTGAATTTTATGGTGGTAGAGTTTTTGGTGATCTTAATGATAAAATTGATTATTACATTGATTGTGGTTCATTATCTGGAATGAAGAATAAAGCTAAAAGATTAGGTGTAAAAACTTTAACTGAAAAAGAACTTATTGATATGATTGAAAATACTTCTTAACAGCAATAATTCAAATTTTCTATTGACTTTTACGCTTTTATGATGTATAATTATAGATGTAATAGTTCAAACTATTAGTTACTTCATTAAATAGCAATAATTCAAACTTTTTGGAGGTTAATAGAAGTGTTAATGTTATTTAAATTTCTGTGCACCTTATGTGCAGCAACGATACTGATAATTATTACTTATTATGTATCGGACAAAGGTTATTATATCTGTTCATCAAAGAAAGCAAGGACAGCATCATATATAATCCGTCAGTCATGTAAGTTGATGATTGGTATGTTATGCCCTTGTATGATGTTCATTATAGTAATTTGTTCATTACTATTTTTCGGAGGCTAATAACATGATTAAAATTGAAAACGATTGCGTGGGATGCCCGCAGGGTTGCATAAGATGTGGGCGAAAGAAAGTTCCGCATTTTTACTGTGATAGTTGCGGCGAAGAATGTGATGATTTGTACGATGTTCGTGGTGACCAGTTTTGCAAAGACTGTACTCTGGATGAACTTCGTATTGATATAGTGCAGGAATTAGAAGATTAAAGGAGTTTTACTTATGGAAAAGAAAATCAAGTGTAAATTATTTAATGATAATTTTCAGAATTATAAAAGATATGGTATCCCAAAGGCACAACTTGTTATTGCTGATATACCTTACAATGTAGGGAATAACTTTTATGGTTCAAATCCTATGTGGTATAAGGGCGGAGAAAGTACAAACGGTGAATCTAAACTTGCTGGTAAGGCTGCTTTCAATACAGATTTTAACTTTAATATTGCAGAATATTTTCATTTCTGTAATAAACTTCTTAAGCCAGAACCAAAAAAAGCTGGTGCAAGAGGAAGAAGTTCGGACGCACCTTGTATGATTATATTCTGTGCTTTTGAACAGATGCAGTTGGTTTTAAAGTATGCTGAAAAACATGGGTTCAAGAACTATATACATCTTAGCTTCATTAAGAATTACTCTCCGCAGGTTCTTAAAGCAAATATGAGAGTGGTAGGAGCTACAGAACACGCATTACTTTTATATCGTGATAAGTTACCTAAGTTTAGAAATGGCTTACAGGTTGACGAGAACGGTAAAAATATTCGTGGTACAGGACATATGATTTTTGACTGGTTTCAGTGGGAAAAGGATGGTAAAGATATTCCAAAGATACATCCAACACAGAAACCTATTAACACTTTAAAGAAGTTAATCGAAATTTTTACTGATGAAGGTGATGTTGTTATAGATCCTTGTGCTGGAAGTGGAACAACTTTAAGAGCAGCAAACGAATTAGGAAGAAATGCTTATGGATTTGAGGTTAGTAAACAGTTCTATAATGAAGCTATTTCAAAGATGTTAAAAGAGGATTCATAAAAGTAAAGTTTTATGTTTTTAAAACGTTTATCCCAATCGACTGAAAAGACTTTATGCCCTTTACGTTCAAAAGCTTTGCCCATACTTCCTGTTCCAGCAAATAATTCTAATAGTGTCACTAAAACCCCTCCAAAATTAGTATGATATTATTAATTAATGTAAGATATTTATACCGATAAAACTTTACGTTGACATCGGAGAATTAACTGCTGAAGAAATTATTGAGAAGTTCGGCAGACCTGATGTGATATGGGCAAGTCCAGATTGTACTTCGTTCAGTATTGCTGCTATCAGTCATCACAGAAGAAAGAATGAAGAAACAGGAAACTTAGATCCGGTTAGCGACTATGCAAAATTTTGTGATAAGGTTGACCAACACGTTCTTGACCTTATCAAAGAACTTAATCCGAAGTTTTGGTTCATAGAGAATCCTAGAGGTGGCATGAGAAAGATGACTTGGATGAAAGACTTACCAAGATATACGATTTCATATTGCAGATACGGAGATGACCGAATGAAACCAACAGATATCTGGACTAATCATCCTAATCCTAAATTCTTGCCTATGTGTAAGAACGGTGATCCATGTCATGTAGCTGCACCAAGAGGAAGCAAGACTGGTACACAGGGTAGAAAGAATGCTATGGAACGTTCAAGAATTCCAGATAAACTTTGTGAACATATTGTAGAAATTTGCGAGGAATATATAAACGAATAAGGTGCAAAATCCTTATTTGATATGGAAAGGAAGTGATCTCATGCATATCCTTGTGCCAAGCATCTTCGGATGCGTAACAATTGAGGAAAGATAAGACGATTGACGAAAGGATTTTTACATGAAGAAAATGACAACTTTATGTAGCAGTTTAATCTTTGTTGGTCTGTGTGTAGTGGCTGCTTGTAGTTCAAATGCAGTCGAAGCACCTGATGTAACAAAGATTGAAACTACTACTTGTGTAGAACCTACAACACTCTACACAACAAGAATGACAACAACACCAATGACAACAAGCAAATGTACAACATCTTGTACAACTACTACACCAGTAACCACAACAACTTGTGCTACTACAACTACTGTAGCTGCAACTACAACAGAAGTAAACACTGTTACTGAAACAGAAGCTACACCTGAATATATAGTTTATAAACCAAGTACAAAGTACATTCATCGTTCAACTTGTCGATGGAACAATGCTGATGCTTATCCAATTACTGATACAAATGATATCTTAGCAAGATATTGTACAGAGTGTAATGCTGATATTGAGATAAAGAACCTATATATTCCGCCAGAGCCGGTAACAGAAGTAATTGAAGTTGTTGAAGTGGTACAGGAAACTGAAACAGAATATAATCCTACTCCAGAACCAATAGCGGTAGCTTATTGTGATCCTACTGATAGAGAGTATTTAGCTCAAGTTGTAGAACATGAAGCAGGTTCAGATTGGATTAGTACATATAACAAGGCTTGTGTAGTTGCTGTTGCTATGAACAGAGTAAATAGCAACAGTTTTCCAAATACAGTTTATGATGTATTAACTCAGCCGGGACAGTTCAGTGGATTCTGGTTTGGTTATTCACCATCACAGAGTTGTTATGATGCAGTAGATTACTACTTTGAACACCAGAATGAGTTTGGTAATATACTTTACTTTTATGGTGACGGAAGTCAGAATTATTTTTATTAAAAGCTATTTTATGGAGTTATACAATGAAAGATAATAACAATGAATCTAAAGGATCGCTTAGTACATATGGTTTTAAAAGCAAAGGGTTTTATGTATCAGAATCAATCGTATGTTCAGTTTATATATTATCTGTTGTTTTTGCTGCGATTCATTTTAACTGCCCTAAACTTTTATGGGCGTTAGTTGGTGTACTTTTTATATAAATAAATTCAAAGGAGTGTAATTTTATGTTGGAGTACATGTGGGATAAATGGAATTATTCAATACATCACATTGCCGTACTTGCGTACTTCTTTTATGTTCTTGACAGAATTTCAAAAAAATACTGTGTAAATAGGATTATTGTTAATTCTTGTCCTTTAGGAATTATAGATATTTGCAACGGCAGAGTGAATAAAAGATAAATTTACGTGAGGTTATAAGATGACAGAGAAAGAAAAAATACATGAGGTTCTTAATATTATTCATGAATATTGCGTTGATGGAGGAAGTTGTAGTTATTGTGCATTCAGAGACAACAGTGGAGATTGTAGATTTATAACTTTTGCAGAATTAAATACAGATTCAATGTCTGAACTTAGTGAACTTCATGATTGGTTAGAATCAATAGATAAAAAATAAATTCAAAGGAGCATTTTATGTTTAAGAAATACAGAGATATTGAAAGACTTAAGGCAAAGAACACAGAATATTTCCATACAGGAGATATGATAACAATAACTGAGAAAATTGATGGAGCAAATTCTGGCATAAGTTATGATGCCGAAACAGATTCTATCATACCACAGAGCCACAACAATGCACTTAGTCCAATGAATACACTCAGAGGATTTTATGAGTTCGTCAACAGACTTGATAAGGCTAAGATTAAAGAAGTTGTAGGTGATACAAAGATTTTGTACGGTGAATGGAATGTATCTCATTCCGTTCCATATCCTGATGATACAAGAAATAAGTTCTATGTATTTGATATTTTTGATACTGAAACAGAAACTTATGATAACGATTATGACCATCTCAAAGAAGTAGCTGATTATCTTGGTGTTGATATCGTACCTTTATTTTATAAGGGTGAGTTTGTATCATGGGAACATTGTATGAGTTTTGTAGGCAAGACCGACCTTGGCGGTGAGTATGGCGAAGGAATAGTAGTAAAACAGGGTAATACATCTATCAAGATTGTTGGTGAGAAGTTTCAGGAAACTAAAGGTCACAAAGAAGGCAAGACACTTACTCCAGAACAGCTTGAAATACTTGCTAAGAAGAAAGAATTTGTTGAATCTATTGTTACAAAGGCAAGAGTAGCTAAGTTGCTTAATAAGTTTGTTGATGAAAATATTCTTCCTGAAGACTGGTGTGAACAGGATATGAGTATTGTAGCAAAGAACCTTCCAAGAAGATGCTACGATGATTGTCTTAAAGAAGAGCCTGATGTAGTAATGACCATTGATGATTTTGGAAAGATGTGTGCAAAAACTGCAATGGGATTAGCTAAGGAAATACTTGAAGAAAGGAATAAGGTCTGATTATGTATAACGATTATTTTGATTATTATGACAGACGTTTAAGAGAAGAGCTTTACGGTGGTTCTTGGGGAAGTGAAAAATGGACAGGAGCTAATCCATTTGAAGACAGAGAGTTATCTGAAATGATATGTGATGCTCTTAACTTAATAAATTATCTTGGGAAATATCGTGGTGGCGATGACACTAAGTCTTACTTTGAAGAGAAGAAAAAGTTCAAAGACAAATGGCTCAAGAATCCAAGAGTCAGAGTAAAACACGTAATAGATACTGCGGTAGATGAATTCCGTCAGGAAATGTATAAGACTTATGGGATCGAAGATAAAACTTAAACCATGTCCATTCTGCGGTGGAGAAGCTTATTACAGAACTCCAATACATAAAGGCTGTGAAGTAATAATGATGGTTGAATGCAAACATTGTGGTGCTTCTCCATATGCAGCCTATCTCTCTGATGTCTGGGGAGAAGATAAGTGGAAAGAAGCAATAGCAGAGATGTGGAATAGACGAAAATAACTTTTGATGGAGGAAATTAACATGAGTCAGTGGACACATATCAATTCAAGCTTCAGGCTTGATAGTTTTGGAGCAATTACTGATGAGGAAATCTATGATGTTTTCGGAAGACACGTAGGTTTCAATGACCTAGTCGATTTTGATGGGGAGCATAAGACTACTCCTATGGGTTCTGAAGGTAGTCTTCAGATTAGTATTTGGCACAACCCGGAGGGGAATTATCTATCAGCTACTCAGGTATCAGTATTTGGTGACTTAAGAGATTTCGGTGGCGAAAGTGATATTGCTGAACTTAAAGAGTGGTTTGATGAGTGCTGCTCGAAGTTTTATATCAGACAGGCAGTCATCCAGATACGAGATGATTATGAGAAGGACGAAATAATATACACGTACAAGAAATAAAAATTAACTTTGATTGAGGTGATAAGATGGATGAACTTGAATCACTTGCTCATGAACTTGAAAAGTTTTATGAAGTTGATAAGGTAAAATGTTATGGCGTTTTTGTGTGGGAAGAAGATGAGAATATCTTTGATATTTTTTCTGATGGTATCAGTTGGTATGTAAAGGAACGTCCTCTTAAGGAAGGATCTGAAGAAATTATTAATCAGATTATAGATGTTCTCAAAGAAATGGAGATGTGATAATATGGATGAATGCAACTTTGAATGTCAGTACGATAGTTGGCAGTGTCACTTAGAAGGCATGGACTGTGAAGTATGTCGCAGATTACAGGAATGTAATGTCTGTATTAATTCAGAAATATGTGAGGTAAAAGAAGAATGATAATACTGTGTGATATAGATAATGTTGTCTGCGATACAACAGCAGCAGTTCTTGCTCAGTACAATGAAGAATACAACGATAATCTTACCATAGATGATATTAAAACTTACTGGATGGAACGTTATGTAAAGCCTGAAGCTAAAGAAAAGTTCTATGAGTTCTTCTTAAAAAAAGAAACATGGAAAAGAGTTAAGCCTATCGAAGAGAATATAAAAGGTATTCAGTGGCTTATTGATAATGGACATGATGTTTATTTTGTTACAGCAACATGGTCTGATAATCTCAAAAAGAAATCTAATTTCCTTAAGAGATGTTTTAAGAACATAGACGTAGAAGATAAGCTGATAAAATCTAACCATAAAGAACTTATTTTAGGTTCGGTAATCATTGATGATTATACACGAAATATCATAATGAGTAAATGTCCTACAAAGGTTTGTATTAAGTATCCTTGGAATGAAGATTACGAAAAATATTATGATGGAGATCGTTGGTCTTCTGTAACTGAATGGGTGAATGATGAATTTAATGCTGGTATTTAGGGAGTAAGGTTATGTTTGATAGTTCATAGATAAGACAATACGTAGGATAGTAAGCAGATGGATTATATGAAGTAGGTGGTAATAATGGTTATAAAAAGAAACGGAGATAAAGTTCCGTATGATATTAATAAAAATTAGAATAGCAATATACAAAGCTATTAAAGATTATGGGAGATTTGATGATGCTGATTCAATGGAATTAGCTATGATATATGCTTCAAAGGTTGATGTTTGTATTCCTTCTATTGGAGACATACAAGTAGAAACTATTCAGGATTTTGTTGAAGATGTCTTAATGGAGCAGAACAAAGATATAGCAAAGCTTTATATCAAATATAGATATAAGCATCAGATGGCAAGAGAAGCCACAACAAATCTTGACTATGAGATATTATCTCTTAAAGATGGCACAAGTGAAGAAGTAATTAATAATGCAAACAAGGATGGTAAGAAGATACAGACACTTAAACCTATGATAGCAGACGTTACTATTATAGATCAAGCTAAGAGACTTTTTATACCTAAAAAAATTCTTGCTCATCACGAAAAAGAAATCTATATTCATGATATGGGTTACTTTGGTTTGCCGTTCTTTAATTGTATGCTCGTTAATTGGCAAGACTGCTTCAATGGTGGTATGAGTATTGGTGGTGCTACTATTGAAAAACCAAAATCATTCGCTACTGCGATAGCATTACTTAGTCAGTTAGCTGCTCATGTATCATCAAATTGTTATGGTGGAATAACTTTTCCTCAGTTGACAAAAGGTCTTTGTGAATATGCAAAGATGAGTCTTGAGAAATACAAAAAATTTGATGCTGGATTTATAAACGAAGATAAACTTGAAGATTTTGCATGGAAACAGTTGGCAAAAGAAATCAAGGATGGTACTCAGAGTCTTGAATTTGAGATTCAGACACTTACAAATTCAAGAGGTGAAGTTCCATTTATTACAATTGAACTTGATACTATTGATATGAATGCTTCAGAAGAAGATCAGAAAATTCAGTATATGATTATTACTGCACTTCTTAATCAGAGAATAGCTGGTTTAACTGGCGGTGTTACTCCTGTATTCCCTAAGATGGTATTTGAACTCAAGAGGGGAAATAACTTAGAACCAACTGATAAATATTATGATGTATTTCAGCTTGCTATTAAATGTTCATCATTAAGATTATATCCTGATTATCTGATGCACGATAAACTTGTTGAAGTTACTGGTAGTTACAAGCCACCAATGTCATGCCGTTCATTCTTACAGTACTCTGCGTTGATACCACTGCTT